GCTCGGAATCACACTGCGCAAGGCGATGTTTCTTGTTCAGCGTGTCGTATTTTGGTGGTGAAAATCATTAGCTTGATTAGACCTTTCATGCCACACATTTATTGTCCGATCATCTTCTCTCAACTCATTTACGATCGATCGCGAGAGGGAAAATATCATCTCGTGTCTATACGCATTGTGCAATATCCGGGCATTTGTCGACACTGTGGTATCCCGCCAGGGTGTACGTTCTCTGTGTATTAGACGGTTTCACTCTCGGATTAAAATCGTATACACAGATTAAAGTTCAATATCATAGCGTATGTCTCTTATGTTTGTTTGTGCTCGATTATTCCATTGTAGGCAGGGCACAGTTGCGGAGACGTGGCTAGGAGGCATGGGCACCGACGGCTCGCCATCGTGCTTGATAGGCTCAGAGGAGTAGATGTATGTGAACATATGAAACAATGTCTACCCAGTGTCGACTCAGCGCTCTATGCAGCACTGTGTCGGTGGAAATGTCGTATGTGTGACACTGTCGCACGTACCGTTAGAGCGTCGTGTACTATCTGTCACATTTAAGTGTGTGATGGCGTCGCGTGCGTAGTGCCCACATTTGGGTCTGTGTCTCTGCCCGTCTCCTGGTGTATTCTTTAGTTTCTGTTAAGCCGAGGGTCTCGATATAAGCTACTTCCATTTTTTTAACTTCCTAGGGTATTCAGTTGTGTGTCAGTGTATCTGATGTGTATATGGGGTGTGTTTTGCCCTTATCTGTCAAGTATCAAACTGAAACTAAGTGATATATATATGTGTGTGTGTGTGTGTGTGTGTGTATATGTATATGTGTATATGTGTATATATGTATATATGTATACATATGTATATATATATAGCTCCTTAGAAACTTCCTTCATGTAGATGTTGAATGCACATAACTTGTGAATTTAATCACTTCTGTGAGTCTAGCATTATGAATCTATCATACACTCATACTCATCTACGAACAGATAGAATCAGAATATGGATTGAACACCTTATACACCTTATATACTATCTTATATGCTTCCAAATATATTGTGGGATGAGCTTACGTCCCATAAGGTTAAATCATAACGTGTACGTCTGGTCAACAATTGTCTCTTAACAGGTCAAGTCAGACGCCGAGGACGAAGACGAGAAGTCAACAAGCAGCAACATCAAACAAGAAACTACCGGCGAACACCCAAGTGTTCAAAGCAGTTCACAGACACATACAAGCACAAGCACACTCACAGCCAACGAGCATACAGAAGCGCCTGAAAGGAAAGAACGCCCATCGCAGAAAAAGAGGTCAGTGGGATGCTTCGTACATGTATATATATCTAAGAGAGCTACGGGGGGCAATGTATATATATATATATGTATATATATATATATATATGGTAGGGGGGGGGGCGCATGGATGGCAATCTGGGCATTCTCAATTCAGAATGCCGTATCAAGACTCGCTTGCCAGACGTGTGTATCAGCACTTTGATTGATAAGTTCATTCGAAGTATTTGCTTGTGCTTGTGATGGTCCAGCCACTTGTGCGAGTGAGCGTATTGTATATGGCAGGCCTGCGATCGACTTGTGTGTTCATATATCGTGATATACAAATTAAGTGCACTTGCCATGTTGGGTGGGTATGCACATATCACCACCTGTTACGAAGGCGTGCATTTGCGCAAAATCTACTTATCAAATCGAATTGATTGCAAGTGCACAACTACACGGCCGTGTGTGCGTAAATCAGTCCCACGACGACGACCACGCGTACGGGCATATGCATATAAGGAAGATTGCACACCAACTGCGAAGCATGCCAGTACTTACGGGCGGGCTCAGGTTGCTCGAAACAGACATGTGCACGAATTTATGGATGAGTTGTACTGTTAATCTTTAAATTTAGGTCTACCAAACGCCGCGGAGATGATAGCGACGATATGCCTAATAGTAAGGCCAAGAAAAAACCCAAGGCAGTACGAAAACCCAAGGCAGCGGGCAACAAGGGACGGCATTCGCCTGAGAAGCCCGGGGGTGGCAGATCAACGGGGCCCAACAACGGGTTAAACCGCAAACGGTCACGAGTGAGACCTCGGGACGGCCATAGCGCGTCCAGAAAATCAAGCACGATGAGTGGTGAGGAAATAAGGGAGAAGAAAAAGAAACCACCCGCCGTATCGTTTAATTACGACAGCCTATTCGGCGGTGATGGAGGGAATAGTGAAGCGTCTATGACTATGAAGATACCCAAGCGCAAGATATGACATATCTTGCAGTGGTTTGGCCTGGTGCAGAAATAAATATACTCGCGCGGTCAACGGTTCGGGGTTCGTGTTTATATATACATTTGTGCTAAAGTGATCGATCTCTTTACTGGACAGTTACTTAATAATAATATTGTGCTAAATTGATCGATCTCATCAATGAATACATACTTTGTTAAAGCTATTGTGCGAAATTGATCGATCTCTTTACTAGACAGTTACTTAATAATAATAATGTGCGAAATTGATCGATCTCATCAATGAATACATACTTTGTTAAGCTATTGTGCTTGATTGATCGATCTCATTTTAATGGACACATACTCTATTAGAGCTATTGTGCTAGAGTATTCGATTTATGCAACAGACAGCTGCTTCAATTAAATACTTTTGTACTAAAACAGTTGATCTTTATAATGGACAGATACTTTTTTTAATAAAAGGCAAGCTACTTTGATAACATTATTATACTAAAGGAATCAGACACATTATTATCAAAAGCCACTTTATTCGTTCTATTGTGCAGAAGTAATAGATCTCTATTGTGCAGAAGTGATGGATCTCTTTAAAAACTAATGGCTACGGTATTAGTATTATTGCGCTAAAATAGTTGTTCACTTTGATGATTAGCTACTTTATTAATTATATTGAGCTAAAGTAATCGAACTCTTTAACAGACGGATAATACAATTGTGACAAGTACGATTTAATGACAATAATGTGATAAAGTAATCGATCTCTTTAACAAACCGATACTTAAATAATACTATAGTGCTAAAGCAATCGATCTATTTAATTGAAAGATACTTAAATAATACAATTGTGTTAAAGCAATCGATCTCTTTAAAATACTTCAATAATACTATCATGTTAATGCAATCGCTCTTTAATGGATAGTTAAAGTAATCGAACACTTTAATGGACAGCAACTTTATTAATTCTGTTGTGCTAAAGTACTTGCTCTCTTTAATGGACAACTACTTTGTCAAAGCTATTGAGCTAAAGTAATCAATCACTTAATGAACAGATACTATAATAAAGCTATTGTGATAAAGAATTCGATTTCTCTATAGATCAGCTACTATATTAATTCTATTGTGCTAAAGCAATCGATCTCTTTAAAGGCCATCTACTCCGTTAACATTCATATGCTAAAGTAATCATCTATACCGATAATTTTATTGTGCTAAAGCAATCGAGATCTATAATGGACAGATACCATATCATTGCTATTGTGCTAGAGTAATCGACCTCGTTAAACTGGACAAATACTTTGTCAAAGCTATTGAGCTAAAGTAATTGATCTCTTTAATGATCAGGAACTTTGTTAATTCGTTTGCGCTAGCTGTTGATCTCTTCGATGGACAAAGAATTAGTCAAAGCTATTGAGCTAAAGTAATCGATCTCTATACTACTTCATTGGTACTATTGTGTCAATATAATCGATCTCAAAAATAAACAGATTCTTTGTGAAGGCAATTGTGTGGTTAAGTAATAGAACTCTATAGTGGGTAGATACTATATTTATTATATTGTGCTAAAGTAATCGATCTCTTGAATAGACAGATACCATATTAAAGCTATTGTGCGAAAGTAATCATTCTGTTCACTGAAGAGCTATTTTAATAATCATATTGTGCTAAAGTACTCGATTTCTTTAATAGTCAGGTCCTATATTAAAAGCTACTATGTTAGAGTAATCGATTTCTTCAATGGGCAGCTACTTTAATGATACTTTTGCGCTATAGTTATTTATCTCTCTAATGGACAGTTATTTCATTAAGGCTATTGTGGTTGAGTAATCAATCTCTTCATTGTGCATCTACTTTGAAAATCACATCGTGCTAAAGCGATATATCTCTATAATCAACAGATATTATATCAATGTTATTGCGATAAAGTAATCGATATCTTTAATGGGCATATACTTAGTCAAAGCTATTACGCTAAAGTAACCAGGGTTTTTTTACTGGTCAGATACTTTTGTGATACAAATAGTGCTAAAGCATTAAATCTCCCTAATGGACAGATGTTTTATTAGGAAAAATTATTGTGCTAGAATAATCCATCGTTTTAATAACTGCATACTTCATTCAAGCTATTGTGTTAAAGTAATCGATCTCAATAACGGATAGATACTTTAATAAAGCTATTGTGGTAGAGTTATCGGCCTCTTTAATGAAGGACTACTTTGATATCTCTACTGTGGTGAAGCAATCCATCTCCACAATGGACATTAATTAAAGGTATTGTTCTAGAGTGTTCGATCTCTTCAATAGACAAGTACTTTAGAAGTATTAGATCTATTTAACGGACAGTTACATGTAAAATACTATTGTACTTAAGTAATCGATATTCTTATTAAACAGCTACTTTATCAATGCTATTTTGCTAAAGTAATCGATACGTTGAGTGATCAGCTACTTGGCGAAAAAAACAATTGTGCTGAAGTATTCGATTCCTACAACGAACACAGACTTTTCGGAAGCTATTGTGCTAAAGTAATCGATCTTTTCAATGGCCAGCTTTTATATTACCATCGTGCTAAAGTATTAGACCACTATAATGGACAAACCCAATAAACCCTAATATTCCAAAGTAATCGATATATTCAATGATCAGCTAGATTAAAAATACAAGTTTGCTTAAGTATTCGATCTCTATGACGGAAATTTACTTTGTAAGTGTGCTTAAGTATAACGGGCATCTACTTTATTATGGCTATTGAGCTAAAGAAATCGATATCTTTATTGGTCAGCTACTTTCATAATACTATTGGATAATAAGTATTGGATCTCTATAATGGACTGCTAATTTATTGATACCAATGCACTAAAAAATTCGATATCTTTATTGGACGGCTAAGTACTTTATTAATACTGTTGTAATAAAGTGACAGCTAAGTACTTTATTAATACTAATGTAATAAAGTGTACGATATCTTTAATGAACAGCTATTTTATCTATTATATTGTGCTAACGTAATCGATCTCTTTTTAATGGTCAGGTACTTGATTAAAGCTACTGCGCTAAAGTACTCTATTTCTTGATTAACAGCTACTTATTAATGTTATTGTGCTGAAGTCATAAATCAAACTATTGGATCTCTAAGATGGACATCTACTTTATTAAAACTATTTGATTTGAAGTTATTGATCCCTTTATCAACTACTTTCACAGTACTATAGAATAATACTATTTTGCTAAAGAGATCGATCTCTACAACAATGGGCAACTACTTTAGGTGCCAAAGTAACCGGTCTCTATATAGGACACCTACTTTACTATTTTTATTGTCATAAAATAATATATCTCTTTAATGGTAAGCTACTGTCTTTCATAATACTATCTTTTCGTGGTCTCAGAAATTTGGGACCACGCGGCCAGGCTTTGTCAACCCGAAACCTTAAATTGTAAAACCTATTCCCTAGACTGAATTCGGTATGGCCCAGGCCGGATCAAATTAATCTATTAAATGGACAGCTACTTTTAATAAGTTATATTGTGCTGAAGCAATTGATCTTTTTAATGGACAGATACATTAACAAAGCAATTGGTACACTAGAGTGATTGGTGTCATATGTGGACAATTACTTCAATAGTGCTAAAGTAGTCGATATATTTAATGGTCAGCTACTGTCGTATCGTTATTGTGCTAAAGAATTTGATCTCTATAGTGGACTGCTACTTCATTAATTTTATTGTGTTAAAACCCTATCAATTCTATTGTGTTAAAGTATTTCATCACTTCAATGTTCATTTATTTTTTTAATACAATGGTGTTAAGTTACTCGATTTTTATATTAGGTATCTACTTGATTAATCCTAATACGCTATAGCAACCGATATCTTCAATGGTCAGCTACTTACATAATATTTTTGTCCTACAAGATTCGATCGTTAAAGGACAGCTACATGAGTAATACTATTGTGCAAATGCAATCGATCTCTATAATAGGTATCTGCTTTTTATTTCTATTGTGCGAAAGCAATCTATCTCTTCAATAGACAGATTCTTTAATAAATCTTTTGAGTTAAAGTAATAGATCCTTCTTTCATAATACTTTTGTGCTAAAGTGATCGATTTCTTTAGTGGACAGCGATTTTCATAATTATATTGCGCTAATATAATCAATATTGTTAATGAACAGATACTTCAACAAAACAATTGTTTTTAGAGTGATTGATGTCATCAATTGGCAGCTACTGTAATAACGCTAAAGTAATCAAACTCTTTAATGAACAGATACTTTATTTCAAAGCTATTGACCATAGAAAAACTTTAATATTTCTACATACGTTCATGGAGAACTCTTAGTTGACTTTTAAGACCCCCTCGACTATGTCTACCACTCTTTTTTCACCGCCACCATGATCATCGTTCTTTTTCATCGCCCCAACGCTAATTTCCCCTACTTCCTATACCTAGCTGACACGCATTCGTTGCAACGATCGCCAAGTCCAATTTCCTCCGTCACTATGACAATCGCTACACAACTGTCACCTCTTCATATGCTAACACTAATTTTCACCCTCTTTCTATACCGAACACTAATTCTCATCTCTTTTTATACCGGACACCAATTTTCACCTCTTTCTATACCGAACACTAGTATTCACCTCTTCCTACACCCAGCCCTGTCGCTCACCTACACTATGCCCAGCTCTGTCCCTCAACGCCTCTATACTCAATATTATTTTTTACAGCCCCACAGACATTACTGGTTTATCACTAATGATTATTTTTCATAATGCAGGACACATACTACATATTGTCATGCTATCAATCGCGTACGTCTACGTAGGGGTTGAATGATACAAATGATATAATATATTTCAAAATGCTGCAAAATTGATCGCTTATATTTAAGTTGTATAAACTTGAAAACCTGTATGCTTAAAGAGGATACAACAGATAACGATATATATTATTGACCTTGGAGACGACACGCCACCTCATAAAAAAAAAAAGTATGCGAGACCATAATTTGCGCATAATTTTTCACGTACATAAATTTATATAACAAATGCTCGAGAAATATTATTTAAAACTGATATTTACTGTTCGAGAAATCGAACCCCGCTCAGGGGCGATAAACTTATATTCAAGCCGATTATCGCACATAGTTTTCACATACATATAATAGTATAAGACCCAGTCTGAACGATTAAAGCCATGTAACGTTAAAGTATAATATTAAAGTTAAAAAAGGGCCGACGTGCCTTGAAAGTTGCACTTTCCTTTTCACAGGTGGGGCCATAGGTGCTTTTTTTTTCACGTACTTTCTCTATAAATTTTACTCGGGACTATAGGTACGTAAATGACATCATACCCCCTTTGACGGAGGATTTTTGTGACCTTTTGCGTACTTTAATCAGCGAGCGACGAATTTTTACCAAGTAAAGTTCTTTCAAAAGAACACAAAAATTGGACAAATCCATTCGGCTATATCATTGGGTTAAGGCTGGCAAAAAAACGCCATAAAAATGGGTCGGCGAAAAATGATGTAGCAAAATTCAGGTCTGACCATGCCCAAACAGCCAATATTAGGACTATTGATGTCGAACGTGAGGGTCTCGCACAAATTTATACAATTGTGACAAAAACAAACAAATACACTATTTGTATACACACAACGTTAAACATAAATAGTCTATATATACACACACGATGCTGGGAGGACACCGGAAACTCTCTCTGACTTCGAAGAGGAGTTCATAAGAGAAGATGTCTATGAAAAGAAAAAAGTCAGAACTACATATTTGACGTTGAACTGAAGTACACACGCTTTGGTATAGATGTAAAGATCGATGATTGTTGGTGGATATATGCGTACCAATACGAAGTAGAACCTACGGGTAATTGGGCCGAATATTGGGATGAAGGACTGGGCGTATATCAAACCAAAAGAAAGATTGAAAGGGTAGGTACGGTTTGTGCTGAGCAATTGATCGTAGAGACTTACATCTTCCTCTTCAATGAGGGTGACACTGCCATAATCCTATCCAACTTCATCATCGCGTGTGATAGGAATGAACTTTCCTCCACTACCCTTCAGATCATGTTTGCTCCCTGTAAGATGTCGCGCACGCTTGGGCATTGACTACATACTGATAATCTGACTTCCAAAGTTATCAACAATCAACTTTGTACATTTTTTTCTCGTTCTGATATTGCCTGTCAGCCGTCAGTGACTGGCCTGTCATCAGTGAATCAATTTCGAGCTTTTGGCTTGCACGCGGAAAGTGTAACAAGCCGCATATGGCCCAGATACCGCAGTACCAGCACTATAGGGACATTTATAGTACAGTCCCTAAAACGGCAAAAATTCCCAACATGTGAAAAAAAATTAATTTTAGGAGACACATGAAAATTTTGTCCGAGTGATTTTGTTCCCATGGAAATTTGAAGCACTTTGCCGCCATAAAATGTTCGAATTGATATAATATTCGAGGTGCTGTGGTCATCCATGGGCTCTAAATTACGTCAAACTATACGCGAGTGCACCATAGTAGCCAGGTAGTAACCCTAGTGGTTGATAATGTGTGACCCATAGTAAACTCTAGAATCCATTGGGTCTCGCATCCACCAAGTCTGTAATTTTACAAGATAAATACGATTTATGTCAGTTAGAGCCCTTCAATATCTTGGTATGCCTCTGTCAGTTCAGAGCCTCATTGGATTGATATACATTCTTCGCTGTCAGAACTGAAATCCAGTGGTGCTTCTGGACTGTTTTTTTTTAATGTAAGCTGTGTTATGTGGTCTAGGAGATGATTATGTCATCGGCACCGGCATTCTGAACTATGCAGTCGTGATACACACATATATAGTATCATAACCATTACAGTACATATAGATTGTATTATTATCGTGCACACACATATACGTAAACGTGGTAGTATATTGTTAATAGACCTAGCGTTGAGATTTTGAACGACAATCTCATATTTGGGGACGCAGCCCCTTGTGTGGATGTGTAGAAATACGGCCTCCGGTCAGTCTAAAATATCAAGATCAAATGAGATAACACATTGGTTATTATTTTTATTTAAGATAATTTAATACAAGTTTTTTTCTTCTTCCAAAATTTCCAAAGTGTTCTAAATTCACTTTTGATGGCTCCAATAGCCTGAGTATTTGGTATGACTCATTTAATTGGACCTATTTGAGACAATAGTAGATGTAGAATATTATGAACTAAATTTTATAATCTCTGAACTACTACTTACAGGTTTTGGTCTTCCCGTCAATCTCCAAAATCCAATAAGTTTTTTTCTTTTTTAACTTTTCTTCAGATGGAACTTTATTTATATTAGCGAATGTATTAACTTGACTTACGTTCTTATGTCTATCTACAAATTAGACATGTGGTCATGAACACTTAGTACTTCTAGTGAAAAGTATTCGATAAAGAACAGCTAGAGGTACGTCCTGTGTGACCGAGGATATTAAGGCTCTGACCAAGAGGTAGTCCCGATCATTCTTGCACAAGCTACCACTGCTAAATCCTAACTGACTTAAATTGTATCTTGGTTTATATAACATAGTTTAAAACATAGAAATATCTATCGAAGTTTACAGATGATGATATTGAGCTCGATCTCGACCTCGAGGGGGAGCTGGACGACGATTTGGAAGAGACAGACACTATTCCAACACCAGAATATGGGTTTTGAGACAAGTTATGGAAACATGACATACCAGCGGACGAAGATACTACAGATACTCTTATTTGGCGCCGAGTGCTCAGAGATGTATTCCATCTGATAGACCTCATTCCAGTCAGCCGCAAGCAGGGTAGTCACTACTTATATAATCAAGCAATCAGAAACGCGATCTTTGTTGATGACCAATACAACTTCGAAAAGGGTTTAAAAGTGCTCTGGCAGAGGAGAAGAAAGCTTGAGAAAAATTTAGACAGTCTCGGCATGAAAACCGATCTATATCTTTTCGCATCAGAGGACATATACCTGAACCTAGTAAGTTGCTCTATGAACAGGTTAAATGTGTATTGGATCTCTTTCAAGATCATAATGATGACAACACAAGTCAGAAATTCTTTTCTATCGAGGCTCGAAAGCAGGTTAAGGCTGTATTAGATTCAATTGAGCAAGGGTATGTCTCAGACCCGCCTGGTACTACAATATATACAATATATCGAACGGACAATGACAGTCTTGATATCTATGTGTTGTCGATCACCAAGTGGCCCTGAAGGATTACATATACGTGAGAGGTACTAAACAAAGCGATATACTAACTACAAAACTCACCATGGACCGTGCGTCCATGCATTATCATGGTCAATCCATAAGCGTCAGATAAAAAAGCATCGTAATTACAATGGAACAAGGCAGTTAATAACAGTATTGTATCCTTACTACACTGCAGATCAAGCAAGACGAATGCAAGCTAATGTTGAAGCAACGAAGGCTAAGTCTGGTATTACGGACCATGAATATGTTGCACAACAAGAAGGACTGCCCACACCCTGTGTCCGTGTGCGAATACATTCGGATATCGATGTCACGCATGAGGTATCCATTTACACAATACCCACTGAATATTGCTGTGGAGATAACTCTTAGTATAAAGCATCTGGCACTGGGATTGGCGTTAGAAACGGATTATCCAAAAGGAACATTGCCAAATGAACAACTCAATAAACAGGTAAGCTCCATATGCGATTGCAAGAAGCCAAATGTAGGCGAAGAACCTGCACAGTACTCCGGAGCAATGGGAAGATATATAGACAGCTACATGTCCAAGTACGGTATCGAACCTAATCTGGAAACACAGACGGCGGAAGAGTTTAGCAGTGTAATTAACATCGATGTGTTGTTTATTAAAGACGAAAACGCAGTAATTCACCTTGAAGAGACCATCAAAGATTTACAAGATTCCGTCTTTTGCTCTGCCACTGTCACACGGACGTACTTCTTTTTCTAGGCGGTTTTCACACTGCATCACGTACTAAAATTGCTCTATCTCGTATGTAGTCTTGTGTTTTGAGTACATCCAGTTCCGCTTCATGATTTCTCTAGATTGATTCCGTACTCAGCAAGCTTAGAATCGGAAAACTTCTTAATATGTGGTTGGTTGATGGGCGTTTCAATGTCGCCGAACGCTTAGAAATCCTTCGTCTTGCTTCATTGATCTGAGTATAGCAATATCGGTTCCTTGCACCCATTTTCTTCTTAACTTTAGACACACAAAATTCTTCCTGCTTACGTATTTATCCTATGAATAGTTTTGCGTAAGCGTTTGAGTCGAGTGTCCGTGGCTAGTACTGCAGAGGTATACGCAAAATTAAATGTTTTTCTGGTTGCTGCTGTCCTGGTACAATTTTTAAATTTACTTGCTCAATCTCTTCAATTCCCAACCATCTTGCAAAGCACTGTGTGTGCGTCCTGGCGTGCTCATGAGATGCCATTTCAGGAACTTGTGTGAAGGATGTGTTGTGTGCCATAGCGTTACAGTAATGATTACATGCTTCCATGCTTATTATAATATACCCGTCAGAGTAAAATGGAACACTCTCCTGCAGATATCTAGGAAGTTGCTCAATTATGTTAGAGTGAAGTAGTACTGCTTGTGCTCAGGATTATTTTTGTTTTGTGTTTTGTTCCCCAACTTGCAGCTAGCACATATAGCTATTGTATATTACGTATTCAGTACTAGTCAAGCCCAAAGCCGTACATCGTCCTTGCTGCATAACCATTTGACTGTAAAATGTGCTCCCCATTGTTTGGACACCGAATCTTGAGTGTTGCATCCCACCAATCCGGAAGAAAGAATTACGCTTGTATGTCTTTTCGAGCTGGATTTGTTGTCATAGGTAGGACAACACAAGCTATAGCACTGAACTTTGTAATCGATCCATTCTCTGGCTTTATAACTCGAATGCCTTTTAGGTTTCATAAACCCACGCACAATACAACTCTTCAAAGCGAATCAACTGATCATCGCGCGATGTAGCTGCAGTGATGAAACATGCCTCGAAATATTCTTCTAGCTCATCGGCTTTGTCCAAGCCGTCATTGTCAATGTCAACACTATTATTAAAATATCATCACTATATCACTATTAGTGTTAGAGTGCAATGTAGTAGACTTTAAATAAAGTGCAAATGCATGTATTTATTTCTGACCTCACCTTTGGTTTTATACTTAAGGTGTTTGTGCTAGTCTCCAGCCGCTTGGTCTGGCCAGGGTAAAAACTCATATGGTCAGTATGAGAAACCTTATTATTTTTGCGGATCGTTCTACTGTTGCATAATCTGAGCAAGGGTAATTAGGGTATTTTTCCGGAAAAGAACCCACAAGCTCTCCCAACCGTTTTCTATTGATATGAGATCGATGGGCGCTCGATCTTCGGGGAAGTGTTCGAGCTGAATTTTGCGAGCACTAGTAGCTTGTTGCAGAGCTTTATTCCTTTGCAGATAGCACAAACGAACTTGTTGTAAATAGGAAACTCTGTGCTTCCGAGACCTTTTAACGCCTGCTGCCGCATAACCATTAGATTGTAAATCGTGTCCGCACTCATTTGAACGCTGTGTTTTCAACGAAGTATATCACAAATGTGGTAGAAAAAGTACACAAGCTCTTCCAACCGGTTTCTATTGATATGAGGTCGATGGGCGCTCGATCGTCGGGGAAGTGTTCGAGCTGAATTTTGCGAGCACTAGTTTGCTCTACGATGACCCTCAAATATATAATTACTCGGGTTTGGGTCTGCATCGTTCGAAATATCATCAAGGTTGTCTCCATGTTTGTTTCCATTGTGTCATTGTCAACCGCCTGTGCCACTCCGATTCAATGACATCGGTTCCTTGTAAACTGTGCCACGGTACAGAACACGTAGGCTCGTAGACTCTGTTATATTAATTGTCTCGCTTGATTCAACGATCATCAAGGTCGTCTCCATGTTTTGTTTCCATTGTGTCATTGTCAACCGCCTGTGCCACTCCGATTCAATGACATCGGTTCCTTATAAACTGTGCCACGGTACAGAACACGTAGGCTCGTAGACTCTGTTATATTAATTGTCTCGCTTGATTCAACGATCTTGTCTAATTGACTCTCACGATCGCTAGCTGCCAACTCGAGGGCCTCACATTCGAGTGTTTTTCTATGGGCAGCAGCTGCTGCTACCCATGTTTCATAATCACACTGCATTTGCAGCCTGCAATTCACGGTGCACTTCTTGAATATTTAGGCAATTGTCGGCGGCTGTTGCTAGCTGCGTTTGTTGCGCCAGGAGATACCATGATGAATTAGACTAGAGTCATGTAAATATATATTTATATTGGTACGAGAGCGTTGAAAATTTCAATTTATGTGTGTGTGGTTATTGAATTTTGTATTTCGTAAAAGCCTACATGAATACTCAGAACTTTCACCTTGGAAATTGTCAGTACTGTGTAGACTACTCCGGTCTCCAGCTAAAGGTCAAACCAAAGGAGGAGTCTACCATACTGTGTGACGTATACTTACATTACCGGCCCTAAGCCAATTATTATGAACAAGTGTGGGGTCAGTCCGTCTCCAATTTCTGAGGTTTGCATTTTTGTCCTTAGGGGTTCGTAACCCTGCGGAAGTTTGGTACTAAACTGGGGCACCTTTATAAGTTGAAAAAAAAACCATATAGAAGTGACACGCACCATATTTTTATCGCCATAAAGAGGGTGTTAGAACTCTCCATCGCGTCCCAATAAGAAAGAGAACGTGGGATCGTGCTTTGAAAGATCGTGTTGATAAGCTGGCATCGATGAGAATATGTTCCCGCCACTTTCGGAAGTCGGAAAGGGCTGATCTTAAAAAGGGGAGAAGGTGAACCTGAGTCTGAACCTAAACCTGAACCTGATTCAAAAGCGCATGGGCCGAAGGTTATGACAGTTGTTCTTGACCAACAAAAAAAGCAGCTCGAACCTAAAGCAGTAGATACTCAAGGAAGACAGCAGATCTCGCAATCTTCCCTAGACCAGCAGATCTTGTAATCTCCCCTAGTTATTTTACCAGCTGTCGCTAGCATGCCAGCAGTCGATATCATGGCCGTACCACGGCTATTCACAGGAGGCAACAGCCGTACTCAACAAGATATCGACCTTGCTCGTATCTTTAAAATCAGTATGTTAGGAAATCGAGTATTAAGCATGCCCGAAAGTGTTGATAATTTGAGCGACCTTGTTTGTTGCCATTTGGAATATAGTAACGATAGTAAGACCCAGAATGATGGTTGGGCACTGACTTCCAGCGACTACGGCACCAATATGATAATCTCTCGGCCTGTATACTTTGAAGAAGGTACCAAATCATCCTTGCAGACGGTAGACGTTGTTTGTATGAGAGGGACTTTCAACTTGACATATCGGACAATTCTGCCGGGTCTGGAACTTGTAGACGCCAACACATTCATATCGGACAATTCTGCCAGGTCTGAAACTTGTGGACGCCAACGCTTTCACGCAACAAGTGATAGTACACAAACGCTATAATATATATATTTTCACGTGTCGGAACTCTGAAGCGATTTCTACTAGTGTCATGAGTGGCCTCAAATGGCAGTGGCGACAAATATCTACGAAACCCGCTGTATCTACGAAGCCCGCTGTATCTACGAAGCCCGCTATATCTACGAAGCCCGCTGTATCTACGAAGTCCACCATGTCTACGAAGCCCCCCGTGTCTACGAAGCGCACCTTGCCTACAAAGTGCACTATATCTACGAAGTCCACAACCATATTTATGAGCAGTTTGGCAACAAGGCTATTTATGGGAGAATAAAGTATACATGTAAACATTTATGATAAATTGTCTTCTCTTGCTCTCTTCGCCGCTGCTTCATCTTCATTTGCCTCACGTTTGAGGCCTTTAGCATTGGCCTTTTCATTTGTATATGCATGTAAAACATCGAAGTGATTACTCGCGTGTAAACTAGCTAGTCTGGCAGCAAATAGTTTTGGTTTGGTCAAAACTGTGTGGTTAGGGTCATGATGAATTAGAAATTGATGCCCTGTATAATTCTGTGCGAATCTGGTTTGTGCAGCCGTCGATTATCTGATACACTGATACATACTTGGTATTATAGTCTCGCGGGGTGATGTTTAAACCTTCACTCCAGCCTCGCTGACCTGCTAAGGCAAAATAGTCGTCTACTGAAATACGCCCGTCCTGGGCTAGGAATAATAGCTCTCGGATCTTTGAGGCTGTGGCCTTTTCAGGTAAATCAATTCCTAGCTCCGTACCCAAAGCGATCAGTATTTGTCTATTACTAATTGTTTTGTAGTCTACAAATTTGTCTGATATGGCACCGAGGTTTTCGTCAAACCTTTTCATCCTCAAGATAAGGTCAGACTTGGACCCTGTGCTGTACAACACCTAATGCGATCAGCTTCTATTGCAAGCCGGTTTTGCTACAAGCAGCATATATACATAGCAATACTTCCATGTCCTTAATAGATCCTAGTATTGTAAACATCGATTGTATTTGTTTGTGATCCGGTAATAAAGCTGGGTGTAGACTTGTTCGACCGTCTTCTCGCAAAGACGTGAGCCATATCTCTCGTAGCTCGGCAAATGTATATCGACATCCTGTTATGCCTCCAACGTACTTCTCGTGTGCTTTAAATCGTACGATGTCATCGGTAGCCATAAAACCACCTTTACAATGTGCCCACCCTTCTGATTCATTTGTGTTTGCTTCCGTTTCATTTCCGATGCATATGGGAGCTGCATAACGGATATAGGTCTGACATACATCTTACACTTGGGATCCAGTAACAATTGAATGCCCTTCTGCAAAGCTATCGATATCTGGTCCTTAGGCATTCTGCTGCCAACACACTTATGATTGTCAGGATCTGATTTTTCTTCGGATAGAACACCTTTGGACAAATATAGCATGGAAACAGTCCAGCATTCTCATCCTCTTCTTTATCTTCTTATTTT